GATTTTTCTATCCCATTCCTACATTTTTTCTAGCTTGTCGTCTCCATCTTACCCTATTCTTTTGCAGCGTTTATGGGCAGCTACTGATTTCTAGGAATGTTTGCAGTTGATGGCTAGTTTTTCTGAGGTTGATACATTTTGCTTATGCTCTCTAGTATTAAAATAAATAAATACTTAAAGAGAAGTCGTTTTTTAAAATTATTGCAATGCAAACATCTTAATTTAGAGCTGGCCTTACACACTTTATTAAGCATCCAAATGCAAGCATAATACCATTCAGTATGTTATAATCTAATGAACATGCTGAGATATGTCTATTCTTCCTAATGTGAGTTTTTCCTTAATAAAAGACAACAGTTAGAGGGATTTCTTTGTTTCATGCTAGAATGTTCTGGATATCATTAGAGATTAACTAAGTGAAGGGAGAGAGAGAGAGAGCGCGCGCTATCTAAGTAATCTTCTTCTTGTTCTCAACACAAATGAATAGGCGACCTGTACAAGTGATAATCCTGCTCTATACGAGCAACACTCACCATTCCATCGCCGGCTTATCACCAGCTTGTCATGACTGTGCAAACAGCTTGTCATTTATGCAAAAAGTCTTAAGTGATTTTCTTCGTATTTTTGTTGAGCAAACGCGAGCTGTTACCATTCCCTGTTCACGATTAAGCCGACGTTTCGGCGGATTCATTATAATGACATTATACTTCCACGTGATTTCTGTACGGTTGGTCTCTGCGTGACATACTTAGTGGAAACCTCATAGAAAGCGGCTCTGAAGAAGGCGAAATCCGCCGAAACGTCGGCTTAATCGTGAACAGGGAATGGTAACACCTCGCGTTTGCTCAACAAAAATACGAAGAAAATCACTTGATCAATGCCGAGGTTAATAGAAAGTCGGTCGTGGCAGTTACTGCAAGATGTACCAAAAAGTCTTAAGTTTTGAAAAAGCCCATCGATTTCATAGCAGGGTGATATCGTGCATATCGTGGTCGTTTATTTAAATGATAGAAGTGTAAAGAAGGCCGTATTACTTTTTCCTTACACTACAGTATTTTTAGATCCTTAAATAGTCCGTCGGCTCATTACAGACTCGGCCTCCTCATTTCTTCCCTTACAGTGAATTCATTTCTGTTGCAACTCTCGTAAAGATCGTCAGCCTAGGGGGGGGGAGGGGGATGGGGCATCGCTGACTCCTTACGCCTACGGGTTGATATTTCTATATATCCACAATTTTCTGTGAAAGTCTAACAACTTGGGCTATCGCGAGCAGAAACGTTATACCAAAAACTGTGGGTAATGCTTTAAAATGACTAAGATCATCAAGCTCCGTCCGTTCTTTCATTTAGTTAATACAAGTTTTTATAACAGAGTTCGCCAGAGTTGCTTGCCTATCACTCTTGTCGGAATTCCTAGAGATTTATAGCAAGATGGACTTCTCTATGTTCGTTGCCTTAGAATTTCGTAATACAAACGAATCGAATCTTACCCTTCTAACTACGCAGAAAGAAAAAAAAAGAAAATTCTTTGAAAGCTGAAATAATCCCCGATATATTTCTACGGTCTGAGATTCTACTTTTGGTATAAAGAAGAAAAAAACTTTCGTTTTTATCTTGAATCGATTATCCATCTCTATTTTTGTGTTTTTTGTTGACGTTTAAGATCTACGTCCAATTTCAACATTTTTTCTTGCTCATTCCCCCTTACTGTCGTTACTGCCTTTCTACGCTATTGCTCGTACCTTGGTATCAAAGCACGACGTAGAAACTGAGAGTTAATCCCTCAAATAGGGTAATTAACCTAAGAAGAAGGTTGGTATTTTAACCGGAAACTTTGCTAATTCAGAAGCTTAGTAAGGGTGAACCAATGCCTGTCACTGCCGCCGTCCAGGACGGAACTGAGTTGCAGGGAAGCAACCCTCTCTCCTAGTCTCTTTTGTTGGTAGACGCAAACGAAGAAATTCTTGCGAAACCAGCGCCATGCGTGAAATCGGAAAATCTGTGTGGGCTTTCTTGACTCATCGTGGGAACGGGCCATTTAGTTCGTTTTGTGGTATAACGGAGCGAGCATCAGCATCGCTGTTGATGCTTCTATAGAGATTATTTATTCCATGTTCCCTCCAAATCCAGACGAGGTTGGTTTATTTAGCACGATATGTGCGTGATGGGCAGAAGTTGATTTCGCCATTGCAAATTCCCCATGATTCAATGGACATAACAGTTCGAGCTTACTCTGTCAGTGAATTCATCAGTGAATGAACTGACTACGAGTAAAAAAGAAAATATTCAGCAACACGGATCGAAATCTGCTGCTTTCCTTCAACAGCTCTTATCGTGCACTACTTAGTTATCATAGAAATTAGTTTAACTATTCCGGTATCAGCCACTTCTTCAGATCATGTCTTTTTTTTCATCAAGACTTTTGTCTCCAGCATTACTGTCTTTACTAGTTGTAATGCTACCAAGCTTGAGTTTTTTTTCGCTCACATAACCCAGTTTAACACCGTGAATGTCGCTCGAGACCGCCATCGACTTCTTTAGATTTCAGATCTCTAACGAATCGTGATTCGCATTGTCAATGATGGACCGGGAAGTGGAGAAACCGGACCCGTTGTGCGGCCTGTCACTTCGTCCAGCCACACAGATCTGTACTGCCGCACAAGCCATATTTTGCCTCACACTTGGGTGAGTCTCTTCCGCTGAACTTCCTTCCTCTGTCACCTCATTCCACGTTAATTCTTGTCTCGTTAAAAGCCTTCTCTTCAAGATCTCTTCCTTCAACGATAATTTCCAGAAAAGTTGCTTAGCTGGTATTAGTACACCATTACTCAAACTGAGGAGTAATACCTACGCCCATGTTGTTACGGCTTCTTTTCAAAAACCACTTTCAGACCTACTGCTTCTTAACTGCGCACCTCTGTGTATCGCACTTCTTTAAGGTATTCACCAAAACTTGAGCAAAATAGGCATTAAAAACTGCTGCATCGAACTTTTGGCACCATTGTCTTTAATGAATTCTTATTGTGGCTGTAAATCCTACTATCTTACAGGTGACAATGCGGGTAAGCTAGTGATGAATGTGTCGTTCAGAATACACGGCGTACTGGTTCGACTCCACATCAGGGAAACCAATCACCCCATCCCTCCATCACCTGTAAATTACGGCAATGCTTTTCTTTCGACATCTCTTACCGATCCACATAAGTTGTCAGTTGCTTATAACGAGAACCTAGGATCGCCCAAGGACTGGTATCTCAGGATTCCGTGCGCCACCAGAATTCAACGAGAGTCATAAATAAGACCAAAAATTTTTAAAAGATATCGAGCCTGGCCATAAATGCAAATGTTTCCGTAGATGGAAGATGTCAGACTACGAGCCAAATGAAATATGTGTCGAGATCTGCATAATGTATGATGGTTGGCCATATGAACTTAAAAAAAGATGACATAACGATAAGGATTAACTTTTCGGGCGTTAATCACTTCTGAGGGATGGGTCGTCCATTCGACTTCATGAAAAAGGGGAAAATCCTAGCTCCTTTGGGTATGTGTGACTGTGTGATGGGATTTTGTGGACATGTTTATTTGTGGCTGTCTGTTTTCCACATATGGAGAAGGTATATTCTTTCATCAGATGACGTCGTTCAAAGAAAAAAGACAACCAATTTCGGTTGATGCTTCTCCGAGTTTTTTCCGACGCTTGAACCCTTTCTGGAAATCTTTGATTTATCGAATGAGCCATGTTTGTTAAGACATTCTTTCCACACAATCCGATATCAGTTGTGTGGAGCTTCCAGCACTTGCATTCGATTCACTTCCTCACATCCATTATCTTCCAAGTTTTTTGAAATTTGTGTGAGGGTCTATTTGCTTCTTAAGGATCTTTCTTCTTCACGAATTTCGTCGAAGGTTCTCTGAAATTATTATGGGATTGCCGTGCTACAGCGTTTCCAGTTCTTTGCTGCAGGCAATGGCTGCCGTTAGGATTGCTAGAAGCCACTTGATCCAAAGTTAGTCTGATGCCAGCTTTCCGGTAGCGGAACTAGCTACGGTTGAAGTGGCGTCGAACTAGAGCTTTGTACCTATGGAGTGACATCACTAACATTGTTTGTAATCCTAAAATTTGCATTTATCCCTTATGTGCCCTTAATGCGATTCTTCAGTATTCAATACTTTTTGTTTACTTTGACACTTAGATAATTCGCCCGGTCTTTTTCAAACTCGGGTAATTAGACTGTAGCTGCATTCACAGCTGCCGTTGCTTCACAGATCAAGGTATGAGACTCGCAAGCGCTGCCATGCTCGAACAAGACCACCACCATGAATTACGATTGCGAGAGAAAGTAACGAGTGGCATATGTGCTGAGGACCGCACAGCTCGTGAAGACGGACCGTTCAAGTATCCAAGTAAGTAAGATACTTAGATGGCCCGTCTTCACCGGTTTTGCGGGCCCCAGCATAATCTCCATTTTTTCGGAGTTTTGCTGGTTTAGCCAATGTGTACCTGAAGTGGTGAGGTCAGCCAAGCCAAGGTCTGCCGCAAGTCGTCACCACCAAAAAGTAACCGCCTTTGTGGATCAGAGGAAGATTTTCTATCATGCGACTAGTTTAGTGCCACGACGGTGATTGATCTTGGTATTTGTCTACTAATAGCCGGGTTTTCCGATGGAAACCCCGGGCTCCTTCTCAGCCTAGGAGACTCTGCCAGGGGGATGAATCCACCGCTGTATATCGCAGCCCGACCAGGAACCCAGATACACCTCCCAGTCACGGTAGGCCGTTAACCGTTGGGAGGCAATAGTTTGTAGATTAATTGATTCTAAAAAGCCATTAAAAGGCAGAAGCCTTTCCTTGTATTATCTCATATGTAAGTGTAATTGATTCGAATTTCTCATTTAGCATTTTCTAATGAAATCCTTTTAACGAGAGTGAAAAGACCATAGTTATTAAAGCAGCTTTGACAGCTGCTTTGCACTATTCGTTCAATGGATTAGTACAATTATGTGTTCGCTCAACCCATTCCCCATGTTTCTCCGACCTATTACAAACTTCGTTTCAACTACAAACTTATTTATTGACTAACTTGCAGGCTCCTTTATCAAGTGCTACTCGATCACTGTGCGATTGTGTCAATTCTATTCGGTATCCACCTGGTGTGCGCGCTTTTCTCGCTCACGTTTCTGGTGTTATGCTTTCTGAAGAAGAAATTTGGCTCTTCTTACCAAATTCTACTTCACGCATACTTATTGAGTATTGTAAGTTTGTGCTCAATGACAAAAATGAGAAAAAACTATTTTTGAAACCAAACTGCTATTCGTTTCCTTTGGAAAATCGCAGACTAGGTAAAAGCAATACGTTAGAACGCCAGGCGTCTTTCTCATCAGACAAACGTCAAACCAAAGTATCAAGGAGCTACGTGGAATCCGTTTTGATTGCTGACAGGGATTAAATGTGGTCCTGAAACGATCAACTGTGTCGCTTTAAGCATAGATGTATTAAGAAACTTTGGATTAACTTAAACATCGCATATACACTTAATCATTCCGATGCTTACCTACACAGTGTTTTTGTGCATGAGAGTTGTGAAATGCATGGAAAGTGGCTCAAAGTTGGAACAATCAAGTTTTGCTCTCTGGGAGGAGCAGGACAAGCAATTTATAAACGTATTTATTTACTTCTCATGATAAGTCGACAGGTGCGGGTTCTTCTGAGCAAGTAAAAAAATGGTAAATTGTGCGACTGACTTTCGTTTAACCTCGGGATTGCTCAATAATTCACTGTTTTTCTTGATAAGAGTACCAACCACGTATTTGTTATTTAAGAAAAGAGAATAGTAAATGGTCTGAAAGAAGGAATACGACGGCTATCGTGCTCTTCAAGTGAACAGAGCTTGATTCCTGGAATTGACTTACTCTTTTGCACTTTCCAGTGGAAATATGGAACTACTGTGCCTAACTGACCCTACCAAAGGTAAACACCTGTATATCACAGTTCAAGAGCATCGATGTTGAGGTGAAGTGTTTAACCACTAGGAATGCATAAATGAAAATTTTAGAACAAAATAGTGTTGGAAACAAAAAATGCCTATTATCGCGAACACTGTGCTGGGTGGACCACCGTACAGTGATCACCAAGCTTCTCATTTCTTCGGGGCCCTGAAATTGGTACTGCACTTCTCTGAGCAAAAGCGCACTCTCTCCAACATAACCGGAAACACTCTGGCTCAGCTGCTCCATTACTCCGGCGAGAATCGACTCCGCCAGCATTCAACGAATTCACGATGAAGGGAAAATTCTTGTGTAGCACCAGGCGAACTTCCGCGAAGAGCGTTCGATGACCTTCGTGCATAATGAATCTGAGGAGACGAATTGAACGCAAGAATGTTGAAGGCTACACAATTGTAAAAGAATGGTCGTGAAACAAGTGTATAAGAAAGTTTTGCTTAGAATAAATAACATTTAGTGCTCCGATACTGCTGAACTACTCTTTCAGAAAAATGATTTTTATTAGTTATTTTGTAGGGGATGGGAAATGTTCCTACGTCGTTCTAACAACTTTCTTTACACCGATGTCCTAAATAAGGGTACGTGAGCTTTTCACGCATCCATTGTCCACGAAGATCTTTCAACTTTACGTGTGGCTTCCATTGCTGCTTGGGAGTTTTCATTTCATCTTGAATGTCGTAGGATGCTGGTCGAGCAATTCTCCTTGCAGTCCTGAGATAGCCGGGCTAGAGCGTTCCCAATTGGATTGCAGAGAGTGATTTTTTCCCAGACAAGTCCGGTACCAGCTTCCCGACTCCAAAGAAATCAGAGGCTTGGCTGACTCGGAGCAGAATTGAACTAGTACCTGCTTGTGATGACTGACATCACTATCACTGTCCTATCCGCACCCTTGTAATTGCAATGATAACAATGATAGTAACAGTATAAAACGACCAGTTTTCAACCATATTTTTACTAGTTCTAATTTTAATCTCTGATGACTTTTTAATCTCTCTAATTCTAATTCGTAATGCAACATAATAAAAGTATAACAACAAGTATTTGAATTAGTGGACCGCTTGTCAATTTGACTCTTCCAAGCTCTGAAGAGAGCGAAAGCGCGGAAACGTCAGCTATTGTTAATGAATAATGCTGAAGTAACAACCTCATGTTTGCTCTTGAAGAAAACGCTGAATAACAGTGATCAGTTTCCACCTAGAATCTTGTTAAACGGGGAGCGTGTAGCGCAATAGTTAGAGGCTGCCTGTAATACACATAAGATTGATCCCGCGTCTCAGGCTTTCTAAGCCTTTCATATTAGGGTTGGTTAACTGGTCTCAGACTTGCCTGGAGGAATGGCATTGCTACTCGTTACATCGGTAGGCTACCGCTAGACATTGTATAGGTTAGATGTGCATTCAATCTTCTTTAGCGATGCTTAATGAAGTCGAATGCATGGCACATCCTTCATGGATTGATCAAAGCCGAGAGTTTCATCCTCTTTTAATCTTATTAGTCGTTAACGAGCTCGAGCTGGGCTAGGCCCAATCTCTGTTTGTACTCGTCGCGAGTCCGAAATGCTTAGAAGGGCTCTGCTTGTTTGAGACACATGAAGGTTGGCTTGTTACAGAGTTTCTTTAACCTCCTTACTTTTCTTCGCAAGCACTTGGCAATCGTTTATCCAGCATTTGTTCCACATGGCAGTACCTCACTCTATTTCGCTATCATGAGGATGTATTTCATTGGCAATTTCCTAAATTATTAAGCTAATGCGAGATTGTCATGAAAGTTTTATTCAGCTAACGTTTTGGCGCCTTCGCTTTATTAGGCGCTAGAACTCAGCACTTCTGCGACTTTTTTACTTCTCGTGTGTGAAGGAACTAATGCTCATATGTTGACCTTTAATTTTTCTTTACTGTAACATACACTCGAAAATCTTCACGGACCTCACTCATAAAGGGATCTCAATTGCCGTTTAGTCGCAACAGGTGGCAGATAGGTGGTTATTAACGGCCCAGAAGCGACCATATGCTTTACTGAGGCGAAGACGGGTCCACGGGATGGACTCCCTGCTCCTGCTACGCCGACTAGGTAACTACCTTCTATGTTTATCAGGACGTATTCATACATATGTGCACTGCTGTGTTCTCGTTTATAGGGCTGTATTCTACAAGTAAATTCGACAAAAAGTTTGCAATCAAGTGACATGAAATGAGCCGGTTAGAAGTCGCCTCCAACAAAACAAACTCTTCTGTCTGCTTTGAGTGAGATCGGCAAGCTACCCATGAGTATAAACAGCTCCCACATTCAGAGATCAGCTATCTACACGTGGCAACGAAAAGCTAAACGCAGTAAAATAAACGGACCTTATCCACTTGCCCTTGAAAAGTCTGCCAATACGATATAGGACGAGTAAGGAGAGGCTGCTAAAATCTCATAGCCATTCCATAATGCCTAAATCGCAAAGGACTAAGGTGGCGATCTGTGCCTACGATGCACGCACATTTTCATATGAGTCCTCGATAGAAGACTTGATCATGAAGGCGAGAAAAATAAGCTTAAACGTCATAGGACTGGCCAAGGGAAAAACACGCTACCCATTCAACGCCGTCTATGACACGGAAGAAGAACTGTTCTTTGGAACATGCGACGGTAGAGGAGTGAGCGGTGTCGGCGTTCTCGTCACTACCAGTTTTTCCATGAAGAACAATCCATTCGAACAACTAGCAACCCGAATCGGATTTTTACGATTGAAAAGATGTAAATCGATACCGGCCTTGACAGTCTTCGTCGTTAACGCGCCGGCAGCAAACTATGAAGAAGTCTAAGCGTTCTGTATGGATTTGGAGAAGTTCTACAAAGAAGAACGTATATTCTTCATAGACATCATTGGAGATTTTAACGCTAAGATTGGTTTCCAGGATCGACTTTTTCTTAACCTCGGTATTGGAATATGAATGTGTCGTTTTCTTGTTCAGCAATCGCGAGGTTTTTAAACAGCATCGAGTCGTCGTCAACCACATGCGACTATAATCAGCTGTTCTAAACTTCCTCATTGGAAGTCACGAAAAAGCGGCTCTGAAGAAGGCTATACTGCCGAAACGTCAGCTAGCGTTGTATTGTATTGTGTTTTTTATGGAAGTAAATGTAGGCTAAGATTGGTCTCAGATGAAGGTCTGAACAGCGTCACATTGAGACCCACAGATTAGAATGGAGCGAACAGGGTGAGCGGCTGTCTCGGTTTTATCACGACTGCCAAGACCATCCATGGTAATTTTCAATTTCAGAAGCTTCACTCTAAGTGCCGGACGTTGGAGTCTTCCAATAGGGAATACCACGATGAAGTAGACCAAATAATAGAAAATCGAAGGTTTTGCCAAAAGGATGTCACTGTCCTCCCAAGATTCTACCATCCCTTTCCTTGTGCCAGATTTCATTTTTAACGGAATAGAGGAAAAGCGGCTGAATTCAGAAAATGAAACACAAAACCACCATAAAGTCGGATTTATTCAGTTTATTAGTTGCCTGTTGGGAGGTTGCCCGTCCTCGATAACATCGTCGATGAATACGACCGGCTCAATCAAGATCTTCACGTTAGCGCTATGAAAGCTGAAAGTTCGAAAGTCACTAAGAGACGTCTGTGTCTAGAAACACTCGACCTGTTACGCCAACATGGAATCGACCTGCAGGCACTACTAACTTACTTTCGAACTGGAAAAACAGTACAGACAGGCGATAAAAGGAGATCTTAAAGAGAGAAGAGCTGCAGTTACGGTAGAAGCAGCAGAGGCAGAGAGAAGTATTCTCAAAACCCACCCGAAAGTTTCACCAATTATAGAACAAGATAATTTTAACGTTGCTGAGATATTTGCAAAACTCTGGACCGCAGGTGTCTATGGTGGGGAACGAACGCGCTATTGTCCTTTCCGGGGAGTAACGCGTTCACCACCACACCATGCGGGTCCTTTGTTTCGCACGTCTCTCAGCTATTTCTATCGATCTTTTTGCCATCAGCAATCACCCGTCAGCGGGGTTGATCTGGGGAGCGCAAATCGGCATAGAACCCAGTTAAGCTATGGCTGTAGTTGAAATCACAATGGCAAAAAGATCGATAGAAATAGCTGAGAGACAGGCGAGACGAAGGACCCGCATGGTGTGGTGGTGAACGCGTTACTCCCCGGAAAGGACAATAGCGCGTTCGTTCCCCACCATAGACACCTGCGGTCCAGAGTTTCGCAAATATCTCAGCAACGTTGTGGTTGTATTTCGCTTAGTAACCTGCCATGAAAATTATAGAAGGCAGAAAACAAAACGTTAAACAAGATAATTTTACTTCGATGACCGGATGGAACAGTTACAGGTTTCAGAAAGGCGATGGAGAAAATCATGCACTACCTGGGTTTCTTCAATAGCCATGTCATGTTCTATTGCCTTCATTTGGAGTAAAGGAGAATGAGAATGTCGTTTCCCCAGCTCTCCCTTTCGAAATACTGTTTTACTGGTGAAGAAATGAACAGCATCAGATACAATAGGATAAGATCTGATCTCTTGAAGAACCTTCCTCCATTTATCATAAACCCATTGGCTCAGGTCTTTACACGTTACCTGTTCGAATTCAAGGTTCCTACTCAGTAGAGGACCAGCAAGATCACGCCGTTGTTCAAGAAAGGCTGCCCTACACTATATCGGCAACTATCGACCAATCTGCTTACTTTTGCAGACTTTCTCTAGAGTCAGCCTAAACAGGATTGACAGAACATCAGACGAAGAACAACCATGTGAGCAAGCAAAGTTTCGAAAACGATTCGGTTCGATGAAGCAGTTCCATACAATAACAAGATTCATTGGAGCACCACGAAAATACAAGAGGCAACTTGTCTTACCTTTTTGATTTATGAAAAGCTTTTGGTTCAATTGAGAAAGAAGGAGTCGTGGAAATCTGGAAGGAGTCATGGAAACCCTGGAGAGCCAGTGCGTCCCTACTCAGTATGTAAAAGTTTTTTCTTGAGCTGTATAAACATTTTAAAACCAAAATATCACCATTCTACAACGACATTAACGTCGACGTCAAAAGAGGGTTCAGACAAGCCGACACCGTTTCGCAAAAATTATTAACCGCCACCGCTCGAGAACGTTATGCGAACACTGAAATAGGCCAAATTGGGAGATGGTCGGCAATTACACCATATTAGCTTGGCTGGTGACATCGTTCTTACAAAGCCAAGCATTAGCCAGGTGGAACAAATGCTTGCTGACTTTGATAAGGCCTGTGGAAAGATTGGTCGTCGACTCAATCTCACAAAAACGATGTTCATGATGAATGGACGGGTTTCGAATGCCTCATTCGCGCTCAACGGAAAGAATATCTCCGAATGCTCCAGTTACGTCTATCTAGGTCGAGAAATCAACATGATGAACGGCTTAGTCCCAGAGGAGCAGGACGAAACGAGCAGCTTGGAGAGCTTTCAAAAGCATCGAGCATGTAGTGAGGAGAACAAGGAGCGCCTGATTACGTGCCCACCTTTTCGATTCAACGCTGCTTTCTGCTTTAACGTTTGCATTAGGAACCTGGTCACTGCGAAATCAGGATGGAAGGATGTTGAACACGTAATCGAAATGACATGCTACTAGGAGTATCTCAAGTCATGCGGGTGAGGGAAGAGATCTGAAGCTCAGACCTACGTCGACGGTCACGAGTCAAAAGCGGTGTTTCACGCGCCAAATTGTCGTAGATCACATATACCGTATACGTAGTGTGTGTGAACGACTACCGGCAGACAAGAGCTTTGAATGACTACATTTCTCGAAATTTCATGCTTACTACACAAGAAGGATATGATGTTCAAGAAGTCGCCAGAGTGAATGAAAGCCACTGAGCTACTCTTGCACGCGACAGGGGCAAATGGAAGATTTATTGGCGCTAGCTCGAGTCACTTGGCGATCAGCGAGACGGCTGCTAATACAGGTGATTTACTGGAAGACTTCCACGCTCAATGTTGAGAGGAGTGCTTTTAGAATAGGACTCGTGGGCTGTGCTGTGAAGCTTATAGGAAGGGATAAATCCTAACGGCAAATATAAAAAAAGAATGTTTCCTCTACAAAAGCTCAAATGTAAAAAAGTTTAGCAGCATTGGTGACATTTTTGTTCAATGGTACAAGTAACTGATGCTCCTTTTTAGGCTTATTGGTAAAGCAACCTATTGCTCGTATTTCCGTTCTGTTGCGTGAACTGAGCACTTCCTATCCAGTGCCATAATTCTCGTCTATTAGGCGGTATCCTTTCACAGTTGTTCTTCCGATGATACCGCATTTGATTTTTCTGGCTTGGATCAGTACTTTTTAATAGCACTCCAGTGAGATTCACGATACGCTTTTATTCTTTTCTTCCTTCTTTTTCCACTTTCTTTTCTCCTGATTTGTATGCTCTACCGCTTCGGTTAGCTCTGGGTGTGTTCATGGATAGCGAAGAGATGAGTATATGTGGAGGATGACTCTAAGGAATCAGAATGATTTGTATACATGCAACTGAACTTTACAAGCATGGATATCACTGCTGCAGTATGGACAACTATTCCATCTGCAAAATCTATCCTCTTCTTTGTGGAAATCAAATGTGGCATAGTTTATGGCTCTTCTTAAGCCGCTCCGTTTTGATCAGCCTTCTTCCCACACGTGGAAATGCGCCACATAGGAACGCAATCAAGCGGTGTGGAATTACTCACAAATGTGTCATCCGTACAAAAATAACGATACCAGTAATGATATTTATCCACTAGTGGCAAAGCCTAATTTTCTGCTGGCTACAGGTGTTTAAGAAAATAGACGAGGGACTAGAGGATTTGAAAGATTGAGTACATGACAGAATTGCGGGAGAAGTTCAGATCTATCTCTCGAGAGATATGCCTGATACGCTACTTCTTTCTATCTTTTACTAAGGTCCACCGTGGAAAAACATTCCTATCAGTATTTTGAAGTGTTTTGTAGTTGTTGATTCTAGTTGTTGCATATTTGACAGCTCCACCAGTTTCGTTTCATGTGATAGCCATGACGCATGGCCAGAAGTTGAATAACAGTCAGTTTCCAGTGAAATTACCAGTAGGAGAACTAGCTCGAAAAAATATTCTATAGGTTTCTAAATGGACAAAGAAGCTTTATCGGCTAACGCTCAGCGCAACCCCTGTGCTCGACTATCGATTGATTACAAAAATTGCAGCGAAAGTCTCCGGCTGACTAAGTGGGCGGTACGAAGGGAAATATATCATATGCTATTCACCTTCATCGGTTTGCCTGGAAATCATCATATATCACTCATCCTCGCGTCTATGGGTTAATAGCAAAAATAGTGTTTACTGATTTAAACCATAATCAGTGAAGTTGCAGTTGCTGATGGGACTGACATCGTTGTTTGCTGTATTGTATCTACCGCTATCGTTTCTACAGCAGTCACATTCCCTCAGTGAAGGTCAGTTGTCTCCGATAATGTCAGATGTATTCTGGTCATCCTGCAAAAATCTGAATAGGGCCTAAGAAATTCCTTTTGTTCCTTCCGTTCCTTTCTCCTTAGCTTCTTAACATTAGCAAATTAAAAAGATGCTGAATGTTTAGTAAAATTCATATCATATATATGTACGTTAATTTTGTCCTCAGCTTTACCAAGTTGTAAAACGAAATTAGGACAAGGTCGCAGAGCATCGTGCAAACTCGTCCGCTTTCAAAAATCGGCTCGAGTTTCGCTTCTATTAAAATGACAGCATCATATAAGATAATATCTAAGAACGTTAACCGTTTTATTTACCGCCTATTCTTTTTTAACAGCAGGGTACAGGCATTGCTAAATATAACTTTAATGATGCTGAGGTATTTGCAAAACTCCGGAGACACGGAGACGTGTCCGGAGAGACACGCGAAACGAAGGACCCGCAAATAGCGCGTTCGTTCCCCACCGCAGACACCTGCGCTCCGGAGTTTTGCAAATATGTCAACATTATTAAAGTTATCTAAGGACCGTTTCCTATTCACAGTCCTTTGCACAGAAAAAGCCATTAATTCCTACCAAAAGTTTTAATTTTTCGTGGTTTTATTGATATCGGTAGGTTGCACGATTTTTTAGGGATGCACTACCTCTTCCTTTTCGGCTCAGCAGCCGGCATGCTCACGCTGCAGTTCATACAGAAGAATCTCGTCGAGCAAATGCTGCCGCTCATGGAGAGCTGCTTCGAATAAAGCGGATGGCGTTTCACATTCATCTGTGTTCGTCAAAGTTGGAGTGATCATCTATTTCAAGATGGTTACCGTAACCTTTGAATGTAACAGACGGGAAATTTCTTCAGGAATAGATTAATTCCAACATAAGCACGGTTGGCCCACAATTGAGTCAAACACGGTCTTTGAGATCGTAGACCGAAAATGATTTTTCAAAGTTTCGAAATTCAAAAAATTTTTTCTTAAATAGTTTTATCCTTTCCTAGTAACTCGATTTTTTGTGCTTTTCTTATTTTGGTAAAGAAAAAGAAGGAAAACCAATATGCAAGAACTAAACGAAAGAACTTTCTCAACGGGCTATTTACTTTTGTGAACCAGTCATTTAACTCCAACTTTCCACTGTGTTTAATTTTAAAGGAAATTCTAGAATTTTTTTAGAAAACATGCTTTGCACATGTACAGAAAAAGGAATTTTTTTTTCTTTGTAAGGAAAACAAGTAGAAATAACTCTTGGAGAGATACAGTTCATAGACTGGTGTAAGAATGAATGCGGATTGTGTCACCGTGAATTTTACAGTTACGTCTTGGAACAAACTTATTGTTGATACCGCTGCTGCATATTGTTTTAAAGCTTCTTTATTCAACGATCTGCCATGTAATGCTTTTTTCGAATGTATAGTTTACAAAGATTTTAGCTTGCTTGGAATGATGCTCGCAATGACTGAAAATAGCGTCGATTGCTTCATGGGTTCAAATTTTCATACAAAGTAACACCAGTGATTCGGAAGGTTATCAAAGACAGGAAAACTGAAGAACCTTTAAGCGTACAATTGATTCTTAAGCTTTTTAACGATAATGTGGATTTTCATTGGTGATAACGTCCATGGAGCCCATCTTCATTTCACGGCAGCCATGTGAATGGGATAATTGAACCTGCTGCTTCAAAAACTTCCTAAGCGGTTGCAGAAAGGCACACGATTCCCAATTCAACAAATTCTCACATGGAAGACATAGAGGCGTTTAAAAAGCTTAGTAGAGATGGGCCACATCACCTAAGATATACGGCAGCGAGAACGCCGTCGTGAAGTCTGTCTTGGGCTTTTTGATGCAACAAAAGTGGACCATTTCTCTCAATCTCAATCTGACGTTTGATTAACAGTAGATTCTAAACGACAACCTACGACATTTAAAGAAGACGCTGGAATGTTATGAAGCTCGTTAACACTTTTCAAAAGCAAGTTTGCCACAAAAAGTCGCCATGACAGCTTTTCGTTTCCGGTGGCGAAAATCTGACAAAGTGCACCGAATCTATGGGACGACCAAAGCAGAAAAAAATTTTCGCGAAATACATGAAATTTTAAGAGAACTTTCGCTGATATGTCTAGTATTGATCAAAAGAAAAGTGCTTTCCTCGTGCACGACAACTGTCTACCACGAAAGGCGCTTCCAGAAGAAGAACGAGCTAGGCTATGAAACTTTTCCTCACTCATCATACTCGCCGGACCTACCATCAATCGATAACCATTTTTTCAAGCACTTTTATAAGCACCTCTAAGAAAAGTTTTCAATAGTTATGAAGCAGATTTTGTTGGCAAAATTGTGTAGATATTAGAGGCTTCCACTCTGAATGCCAACTTTATAACTGAAGCGTGTCACACCTCTTTGAGGTTCTTGGGCAAAATCTGTTACTAGTTTTGCACCTTTTATAGCTTTCTGATCTCAGTAGTGAAAAAAAATCACTGACTGTCTTTACTGTAACTACTAGGTAACAGACTATGCGCCGTCCCATTTTCAAAACGAATCTGCGATCCCCGTAACCGTAGCCCCACTCGACCACAGAGATCCTTACTGGAAAGCTTGATGTTGAGTTTTGGAACGAAGACAAACGAGTGAATAACCAGTAGCTTGGTTTTGAACAGCGTGATTTCTCTCTTCTTCAGTTTCCAATATCGCTTTTTGTCAACTGTCATATGAAAATAGTTCAAATAAAGTGAAGGTGCAAATTGATTCTTTACCAAGAATGGTCTCAAAATATGAAATTCAAAACCCCATCGTACTGGAATTTCTGGAAACGTAATCGGATTATTTACATAAGCTGATAGGAGGCAGATAACCGTACTAGTGATGTCGATCATCACGAGCACGGTGCTAGTTCGATTCCGCTCCGGGACCAAACAAATCTTTCATCCACCCGTGGTCGAGAAATCGGTACCGGAGTTTTTCGGAAAAAGATCACTTTGTGCATTCCAGTTAGAAACCCTCCAGCTTGGCTATCTCAAGGGAGAATCGACTTGGCACGGCATTCGAGATGAAATGAAAATCATCAAGCAATAGCGGAAGCCACACCTAAAAAGTTGGTGGATCTTCGTCGACAACGGATGCGAGGAAACGAGTCGAATATGAGAAGTGCTGGGATCAAAACAGTAGGCGTGAAGACGGGTGGTATCACAAAGTAAAAAAAATAAAAGCATCAGCTGATAACATTTTTTGTGAGGCCATCGTAATGAAGATACGCTGATATACTCGTATTTTAGATGTTAAATGGATTGTGTACCATTGCATAATTGTCTGTGATCAGCTTTTGTCGTCTTTTAAGGTCATCTTTTGTCACTAGAATTCCTACAAACGATGATTAATGACGTATGACACAAAGCCTTCAAAGGTAACAGAGGCTTCTTACTTTCTGAGTATGACCAAACTTGAAGGTAAGCATCACCTTGCGCCACAGTCGTATCTGTGTGACGGCATACTCTCAACCAAGACCTCTTTTCGCTGATTTTTGGAAACTGCCGAACAATCTAGTGGCTGGCTGTGGATCAACATTGCTCAGGCATTTTACAAATGTTCGAAACAAAGAAGCAATCTGTCGACCAGCTCTCCACACGGCATTGCTTCTACTCTATGACAACAGTGAAAATGCTGACGTGTTGGCATACGGAATGTTACGAGCTCATTCTCAAATATTGACTTCCTGCAGACTACAAAATCAGATCTCAATCTTCACTTAACACACAATTTTCTTATTTTTATTACAGCAAGTTTTGTCATAAGAGGCACACCATTCCGTGACAGAATCCATACTCCATTTGATAAACGAGTAGCTCAGCTCGACAATAGTAAACTCGTTTGTTTCCCCGATGTACCAGATTTGCTAACTAGACCCTGCTTGCTGGAGCTACCCGAACAGCACCATATTCTTACCACTGTGCGCCCTCTTTTTTTTATTGTTTTAGGTTAGAATGCCACCACTAGACGGCTCGTTAGGTTCTACTGTCGTATAGATCTACTCACAGGTAGGCTTCCGAGTGGAAATGAAGCACTTCCATTTCATTGCACATTATAACTCTAAAAGCGAGAACACTTCCGCACATTTTGAGGCATTGAATCCTTAGGAGGGAGTGGAGCCTAGTACCGGGAAAGGTAGGGACTGTAAAGGTTCTCAAGCAACGAAAAAAACAAGCGATATAGTCACACAATTATTGCCATGAATACCTTTACAATAGTGACAAAAAAAGAAAAACGAATGGAGTACAAAAAAAGACACTGCACTGAGAATTTTATACAATTAAGAAAGTTGAAATGTTGCATAGCTTTTATGTTTTGCGGACATCCTAGTCGGGCAAAGGGAGCCTACATGTTGTCATTTTCCTCAAAATCGGCTTCTGGAAAACCAAACGTGAGCTAGTTTTAATGTAGATGAGATAACGTAGTTGACGAGTACATCAGATCTGTGACTGCACTAGTACCAAACCTTATTAACTCAGCAATGTACCAATGAATTGGCTAACCTACTTAGTATGCTTTACACTTTCTATCGCCAAAGTTTTACCTTGTTGATTAATTTGAATGGCTTATTGAGCCATTGTTTCTTGTATCAGATTTCGCCTAGAGTGTTATTTCGTTAACATTAAAGCACTAATATATGGAGCTCTCGGCGATGATCAATCCCTGAGGGATGCGCCATGCATTCGACTTCATTATCTGGTCTTTACAGAGGCTCGCGGTAACCTACCGATGTATCGAGCCAGTGCTGTTACCCTCCCAGACGAGTCTGGTACCAATTTGCCGACCCCAGAGGGTTGGAATACTTGGTGGGCCATGCGCACGGAGATCGATTCCACGTGTGTTGCAGGACGGCTTCGACCACTGCGCCACACGCACCCTACTAATATTAATATATTAGAGTAGGGAAAAATTAACGCCAATAAAACAGTAATTTCTGGATGCGAGGACTTACAGAAGACGACAATGGGTAGAGTAAAATGGCTAATCGATATGCATTGTTTACACGGTGTACTGAATTTGGACCCCTCCGCGCCTTCGGGGTCATGTGGGTTTGTTGCACGGTAGTGCACACTTTTACGGTAAATGCTGCATAAGACACACCTTCAGATTTTGCCGTACGATTTCGGTCGACGAGCACTTTTGCGAATCTGTTGGCAAACTGCTGGTAATCTTTGCTGATGTTGGTGTGTGAGCATTTCTATATCTCTATATTTCGGTCCCAACAAATCCTAAACAAATCAATTAATTCATGTCGTCAGACTCTACGAGTTGTATTAATAATTTATGTTACGCTTGCTACGACTTCATTATATAACTGGATGTCTGGGACATTCTTTCATCGTGAGTTTTTATCAGTAATCGCGCGATCAGTGAGGATGAGAGCGGAATCTAAGTCACAAGCCACTAAATCTATCTAAGACACACGCTCAGGAACGTGGCCGACTGAACTCAATCAGCCCAGAAAATGACTGAAGCCTGAACTATTTTTCGAAGCTTGTGATGTGTTCTAATCCAGAAACTACTCACTACGTTGTTGAACAACGGCAGTAGTAGTATAGCGCAGGGATTAGAGATGCTGTGCAGTACCCACGAGGTTATTGGTTCGATATCGTGCCGTGGGCGAACAAAGCTTTCCTATCTTCCGGGATCGGAAAATAGATGTCAGACGTGCCTGGAAGGACAGCAGCACTGGTTCGATACATCGGTAGGCCAACGCAAGTCGCTTTATAGGCCAG